AATGGACAGAAGAACATCTCTCTCTCTACATTCAAGTGCAACTATGTGCACGTGCTTATAATGAAATTATAAATGACTCATTTTGGAGTTATAAATTAGCAAGCACAATGACTAATGCACAATGAATAAGGCTCCAAGGACGCAATGACCTCTAAGTCAGCAGTGTGGGGGGAAGGGTGCTGGAAAAATGGGAAATGGCAGAATATAAGAATAGAAGGAGGTGCTAGTTTGGTTACAGTGGTAGTGTCCTTGTCCAGGGTACTGAAAGCACTCTGCCAGCCACTATGATTTGTCGTGATTGGCTGAAAGCTACATTTTAATACTGTGACATCACAGCAGCACTGCTGATTTCTCTTGCTGAGTGACATCAGTGCAGCACCATCTTTCACTCTTTTATTTTCACACACTGCAAAGAGAGTATAACCAATGTTGCACCATTTGATTTGTAATTGCTGAAAGACATGTACAGAAAGAGCAAGCTAGAGCGACGCAGACAGGAAGAGACAAAGTGAAAGAAAAAGAGCAGAACAGAGCGAAACCGATTCACAGACATGTACTGAAAAATTCATCTTAGCCTGTATGCATTATTCTCTCTTCAGTAATGTGGTGAGTTTAATGTACAGTGGTGTGAAAAAGTGTTGGCCCCCTTCCTGTTATCCCCAAGACTTTTGGGCAAATATTCTGTGGACTGATGAGACAAAAGTTGAACTTTTTGGAAGGTGTGTGTCCCGTTACATCTGGCGTAAAACCAACACAGCATTTCATAAAAAGAACATCATACCAACAGTCAAACATGGTGGTGGTAGTGTGATGATCTGGGGCTGCTTTGCAGCTTCAGGACCTGGACAACTTGCCATAATTGACGGAACCATGAATTCTGCACTCTATCAGAAAATCCTGAAGGAGAATGTCCGGCCATCAGTTTGTGACCTCAAGCTCAAGCGCACTTGGGTTCTGCAGCAGGACAATGATCCCAAACACACCAGCAAGTCCACCTCTGAATGGCTCAAGAAAAACTAAATTAAGGTTTTGGAGTGGCCAAATCAAAGTCCGGACTTAAATCCGATTGAGATGCTTAAACAGTCCATTCATGCTCGAAAACCCTCCAATGTGGCTGAATTAAAACAATTCTGCAAAGAAGAGTGGGCCAAAATTCCTCCACAGCGATGTGAAAGACTCATTGCCAGTTATCGCAAACACTTGATTGCAGTTGTTGCTGCAAAGCGTGGCACAACCAGTTATTAGATTTAGGGGGCAATTACTTTTTCACGTAGGGCCAGGCAGGTGTTGACAGCTTTTTTCCCTTAATAAAATAAAAAATCATTTAAAAACTGCATTTTGTATTTACTTGCATTATCTTTGCGTAATATTAAAATTTGTTTGATGATCTGAATCTTTTAAGTGTGACAAATATGCAAAAAATGTAAAAAAAACAGGAAGGGGGCCAACACTTTTTCACACCACTGTATTTCATAAGCTAACGTAAATTTTACTCTGATTAAGCTGTAAGAGAAGCTCTTTAAATCACCACTTTGGCTAAAATGACACCCTGGTGGCCTCAATAACATCTTTTTTCTTGTGAAACTCAGATTAATGATTTACTTCTTTAGTCCCTCTCATCTAGCAGAGAATCAGTCATATATCTCCTTATGGTTATTAGACAAAATGAATCTTTTTCATTATACTGTTGATGTTTGAAACTCAAGTGCGAGTTTGAGCTTGACACTCTGCCCAGATTGTCTGGCCCCACATGGCCATTCTACCTTCAGTCTCCACACATAGTATCGACATAGAATGAGCCAGATGCCTATGTGTATTTTTCATTCCTTGATTTCTTGACTCATCTATAATTATACATAGTACCGCGAAAATGCATCCAATTAGAATAAGATTATGCTAAACAAAGAAGAAAAGCAAAATATCTAGTCAGCAGCCAATGCAAACAACATGTTTTAATTTAATTCAGATAATTAAGCATCTTAACATTGCTAACATTTGCAGAAATTTCACCTATAAAATGCTGATATAATTGTCCAACAGCACTGGGATGTTTCATGGTTTGTAGTACTCTGCCGTTTGCATGTTCTTGTCAGTCTTGGGATTTTTTAGCGAAACTTTCTGCAGGTTACATCAATAAACCAGTATTAGGTGACAAGTGATGGTCTTTATGATTGAATCGTTGGAATAATTCAGGAAGGAAACAAGTGGCTGTCTTTATGAGTCTTTGAATCATTCACTCAACTGAATCGTTCACAAATATTGATTCAGGAACAAAACACTGCTACTGTGTTACTAGACGATGCGCAACAGTTTGCTGGGCTTTCTTTGAAACCATTTTCATTGGTGGAGTAAAAACATAAAGAAACTGGCAGTAAGTTATTCAATATTAACCCCTTATTTTAACTTTATACAAAACAGTGCTTGTTTATCCAGTAATTTTCCAAAACAACATTTTCTGTTTGACTAAAGTTGTTTTAAGGTGTTATGACATTAGAGAAATTTTGTGGGCAAAAAGATCAGTTGTTTATTGTCAAAAGTGTAGCAATGTAAGCACAGCTCGCACAAGTCACTTTCAAATAGCTTTCCGTTAGTGAACATGCCAAATTAAACTCTATGTAAAATCTGTATGGGAAATATTTAATCCTCACATGAAATTCCTGATTGCATGGATTCCTGTTGAAATTACTGGATTTCGTCTGCAAAAATTTGCTGAACAGAGGTAATGAGTAGAATAGTGTTAATTTTGTTAACAGAAAGTATGACAAAAAATGTTCTTTGACGAGATATTTTTCCATGACTAAGGCAAGACGATGATGAGCTGACGATAAGGTCAATAAACGATAACTGTGACAATATCAACATGCAATATCGTTCACGATAAAAGACGAGACTAAAATGTATTTAAAAAAAAAACTATACCAACATTTATTTTTATTTTTGTTGAAAAAAAAAAAAAACATTATTTGGTTTGGTTTGGCTTTACATTGAAATGTCATAATCTGAACTTGAGGGAAAATTACTTCATGCATCCACTAAAATCACCTTAGCAGCAGTTGGTAAGACATAATAAAGTGAAGTTAGTTCTGAGAAAAGCTCTAGCATCATTTGTTTGCAGATGCTAGTTGGTTTGATATTTCTTATCTAATGCAATGACACGAAGACATTTTAGTGTCAGTACTGTTTCATGGCTACTGTTGCTTCTGGTGTCCCTTAATGAGGCAGACCATTCCAAACACATGGCCTGATATAAGGAAGCCTTTAGTAAGCCCAAAATATGTTGATATAAACATCTGTGCAGTTTCCCTTGTCACTCAACATAAAATCGAGGCAATGAAATTTTTAAACAGCCCAGGGAGGATTTGGAAACCTCAGAAGTGAGGTGAAACATGAAGTCTCTACATGCACCAATTCAGCAGCATAATCCACCCAGCAGGTTTAGACTGACATTCTTCTGTTCCTATTCAGTGGAAATGTCCATGTAGCAAAATGCAATTTAATTTCTTCATTTTTTGATTTTTTTAAATATAAAAATATTAAAAAATTACAATTAAGTACACTTGATTAAAAAAAAATCAAGACAAGCCACGTTATGATACTGAAATGAGTGTACATTACAAAATGGGAGATGAACTAATGAGTCAGCACATTAAAGAGATTGCTGAGAAATTGACTGAATGCTGAACAATGCAAGCAAAATAATACTTAAAACTATTAACTGAATAAATATTCAGCACGGGAAGATCACATGGATGGAAACCAAAGAAATAAACTTCCAACCATGTGATTTTGTCCTGAGCCACACAGTTTAATTGCTTATCTCTGATTTAATTGACGTGTTCTGATTACCCATGCTCCTGAGACAGATGTGGGTGTGTCACAGTGCTTAGGAGCTTGGGACACCTGCCACAAACGGAGACCTTTTGTGATGCCGATCAGGACTATTTGAAAGCCATTGATTTAACCAATGCACCATATTTCAAAGAGAAAGTGCTCAAATTTCAGCATGAGCCCATTTTAAAAGCTTTGTTTGTTGTATTTTTACTTTAAATATCACATGCACTTTAATACACAACTCCTGTTGAATTTTACATTGTTTGCCTGTTTTGTGTCCAATTTCTACGAACTCCTTTTACTACCAGTGTTCTGCGTAAATAACATGCATATTTTGTCATTCCATAAAATTCTTTTACATGACACACAGTAAGAATGAGTTTTACAATAGAATATCAAAGGGGTGGAACGGCTGTATCAAATTCTCCACTTAATGTTCCTGGTGACATCCTCACCTTTGACCTGAATGAGGAATGTATAATTCAGCAGGGGTGAATCTGAGAGGCAATGAAAATGGACTGGGGCTGCCAAAACCATTCCAGGCCACCTGCTGTTGGAGGTTGATTACTTCAGTTTAGCTCTGAGTGCACTTCCTATCATGCTTTCAACACGGAGTACACTTACGGTAAACTTACAAGTTAGTAGACAAAAGGTACTAGACTAGAGTTTATAGTTAGAATACCTTGGCATTCAAAGTACATATTTCTCCCTATATTGTACATGCTAGACAGAGACAGATAGACAGATAGATAGATAGATAGATAGATAGATGAAATGCATTCAAACCAAATAAATGACTTTCCAACCAAATTACTTGGAAGAGTGAGAAAAATGGTTTGCTTTTCTTTCCAGGCCATACAGTGGACGGAAGCCATGTTCTCTGCTCATTCTGGCGTCTCTCTGCTTTGTGACAGACACACTGTGAAATGAGGGCCCATTAGTCACAGAGCAATTGCACATATCCATTCCACAATGCTGACACCAAAACAGCACCATATGCCTTTCTAACCGATTCAGTGTTATCTGATGACCTTTGAGGAACCATTGCATGAACATAATGGGCAAAGTGGGCAAATAAATGATTAATAAGTGTATGGGTGAACGGACCCATGGTGTAGGTATATTTGGTATGAACAAGGCAAGGAAATGTGTAATCTGAACCCACTTACATTCGAGATGTTTTTTTTTAGGTGCCATCACTTCATGCGTGGTCGCTTTACACACCGCACGAGCCACCTCGGATCCCGTGAGGCTGTACTGCGCCGCGGCGATGCGGTCCGTCAAAGTCTGACCCGACATCTTCCGTCCCTCGCGGATTCAAACGCCCTTATTCCCGAATAAAGAGACGCGTCGAAATGTTCCAAAGAGTCCACAAGAACGAGGCCCTTTAAAATGGATTCTCGACCACAATTTGCGATATTAATACGATGTGATTGTTATCAAGACCAAGCTGAGATAAAGTCTTTACCATGGATGATGAGCAACGGACATATTTAAGGCAATACTAAATCATACAGAGCGAGACTCTGTTTACTATAATATAAATTTCAGGTCAACGCCTGCGCCGTGTATTCGCCTCGCGGGGATGCGGGAGCATTTAAGAGATGCGTAATGACTATTTCAACCGCAAATAGTTATTTATAAAGAGTAAACGATGAGCTTTAAGGTTATAAAATACAATTTTTATAAAGTCTTAAAAGATATTCCTCGTTATTTCCGCGTTGTATTGGAAGAGGCTGTTACGATGATGCTCGGCTCGACCAGTCGTCCTTCTCTCCTCCTCCAGATCAAGGATTAATCTTCCTGACAAACCCCGCTCGATGTGCAGTCACCCAAACCTTCAAACGGCTTGCGTTGTTCTCCTCATCTCTAAAAGCCGCTCGCCTTCCTCCAGGTTTGGACAATTGCTGAACTAGGAGGCTGAAACACTGCGATAACGGGAATCCGCGGTCCCCGCTGGACTCGATATTTAGTTATTTGTGCCATCACTCCGCCCCCACGCATGAGTCAAGTCACACGTCATTAAAAACCCAGATTGCGTGCGTTTTACTATCTGCGCCCAATGTATGTGTGCTTTTTATTGCTATGGTAACTAGTGCTGGGGATTTTGATTCATTTTAGAGACTCGAATCTTTTCAGTCAATTCACCTAAAAGATCCATTCACGGATTAGTTCAGTGGCTACTATCCATGATTGAAAGAATGTTCAGGAATCATGTTTGTCATCTGCTTGGTGTGACTTTTTTTATTAGGCTACATAAAACAACAACAAAATGTCATGAATACATAAAATAAATAAAATATTTTATTTAAATAAAGTACTTACGTCATTTTAGTGGTGTATTGTTGTACGGTCTCACTTTACACAATCTTAACCCCCTTCCCTTGTTTTTGTTTGTTCAGTTCACACACAAACACTTCAGTTCATTCCGTTCAGTTCATTCCGTTCGTTCACAAACGAAAAGTCCCATTCAGACTCGAACACAATCCGTGTATCATTCGATCATTCATTTTTTGATTTAATATTGAAAGTAGAAAAATTAGAAAACGGCTCCTTTTTCGGTTTTTTTTTTTCCAAAAATTGAAAAAAAGATAATTCAGCTTAAATTTTCGTTTTTCGCTCAGGGGTAGAAAAATGAATAAACAGCTTGAATATTTGAATTATTCAAGTGAACATCAATCAGTACTCAATATTAATTTAAACTGCTTTAAATATGACTGCTGCTTATTTCCTGTGCACTTCAATACTGGTCTGTGCTTGAATGTAGTCGCGTCTGTCTGCTTATTGAGTTTATTTAACCCATCGCAATTTATTGGAACTGTGTGAACTAGAGTGACTACTCACCTTAATGTTGTTCTAAAGGCTTATTACTTAATAACACAAAAATGTCCTGCTCGCACTTGCCAATTTAATGGCAGAGAATGGTGAATTGTTTGGAATTCTCTGGACTTGTTTGGAAAGAATGTTTTTTTTTTTAAGCGGATGCATATCTGTCGTAAAATAATCATATGCATCTCGTGGCGTATATTCCAAGCATTCTGAAGGTATACTG